AAGGATAAGAATGGTGATCTGTTTGCAGATTCTCACATTTTGAATAGGTGGAAGAATTACTTCTCTCAGCTACTGAATGTTCAATAATGTTATGCAGACGAAAATACATACAGCTGAGCCAATAGTACCTCAGCCTAGTCCTTTTGAAGATGAAATTGCTATTTCAAAGTTGAAAAGGTATAAATCACCAAGTAGTGATCAAATTCTAGCAGAACTGATTCAAGTAGGAGGTGAAACATTATGCTCAAGAGAACATAAACTCCTTAATTCTGTCTGAAATAAATAAGAATTGTCTCAGCAGTAGAAGGAGTCTATTATTGTACCAATTTACAAGAAGGGTGATAAAACTGACTGTAGTAATTATCAAGTCATATCACGGTTATCAACTTCATACAAAATTTTATCCAACATCCTTCTCTCAAGGTCACGTCCATAAGTAGACAAAATTATTGGGATTCAACAGTGTGGGTTTTAACATAACAGATTAACTACTGATCAGATTCTTTGTATTTGTCAGATACTATAGAAAAAAATTGGAGTACAATGAGACAGAACATCATCTATTCATAGACTTAAAGAAAGCGTATGATTCAGTTAGAAGGGAAGTATTGTACAATATTCTCATTGAGTTTGGTATAACCATGAAATTATTTAGGCTTATTAAAATGTGTTTGAATTAAACCTATAATAAAGACGGTTTAGGTAAACACTTGTCTGACACGTTTCCTATTCAAAATGGTATAAAATAAGGAGATGTGTTATTACCATTGCTTTTCAACATAACTTTAAATATGCAATTAGGAAGGTCCAAGAAAACCAGGTGGGACTGAAAATGAATGGGAAACATCAGCTTCTGCTCTGTGCTGATGATGTAAATCTATTGGAGGAAAATGTGAATACCATAAAGAAAAACACAGAAACCCTAATTGAATCTATTAATGAAAATGGTATAGAAGTAAACACAGAGAAAACTAAGTTATGTTGTCTCGTCACCAGACTGTGGGAAAAAATCGTAACTTAAAGACAGCTAATGCATCCTTTGAAAATGTGGAAAAAGTTCAGATATTTGGGAGCGACAGTAACAAACTAAAATTTGATTCATGAAGTAATTAAGAGCAGATTAAATTTGGGTAACACTTCAGTTCAGAACAATTTGTCATTTCGTTTGCTGTCTAAAAACGTAAAGATTAAAATATACAAAACTATAATTTTCCAGTAGTTTTGTATGGGTGTGAAACTTGGTCTCTGACACTAAGGAAGGAACATAGACTGAGGATGTTTGAGAACAAGGTGCTAAGGAGAATATTTGGACCTAAGAGGGATGAATTACTAGAAGGCTGGAAAAAGTTACATAATGAGGAGCTTAATAAGTATAACTTCGAATTCAAAATATACAGAAAGCCCACAAATACAAGCACCATAATACATGCCTCTTCATGCCATCCGAATGAACATAAACAGATGGCTATTAACTACTTAATAAACAGGAAAAATACATATCCCATAACCACAGTAAACAAACAAATTGAATGTAACACAATAAAACGAATTCTAATAGAAAACGGATATAATAATCATGAAGTAAAACCCAAAAATAAAATAAACAATATAAACAACATAAATGAAGACGGAAACGAAAATAAACAAAACAAATGGGCCACATTCACATATATAGGAAAAGAAACCAAATATATAACAAAAACATTTAAAACAAATAACATAAAAATAGCATTTAGAACAAAAAACACTATAAAAAACATCTTGAAACAAAAACCACAAATAGATACAACAAATCAATACGAAAAACCAGGCATATATAGGTTGAAATGCAATGATTGCCCGTTAACCTATATAGGCCAAACTGGACGCACCTTTAATCAAAGATATAAAGAACATATTACAGCAATAAAACATAATAAAGACCATTCAGCATATGCAAAGCATATATTAAACACAGGACATTCATACAACAAAATAGAACATACATTGGACATTATAAAAATAATACAAAATAAACGACATAGAGACACCATAGAGAAATATCATATACAAAGAACACATAAACAGAACCTTGCATTAAACGACAGCAACATTTACACGAACAATCCGATATTTAACATTCTACAGTCCATTGACCCAACCCCCTAAACAACTTTCACCCAATATATATAGCCATACACGATACTCACATCTCAGTTACTGTCTGCCATTCAATAACAACGGACACGCACCTCATACACAACCCGGTATGTTATAATACTTTATATTTTGTGATTACATTTATTTTGTTTGTAATACGATATATTTGAATAATTCCTTAAAATATTATAAATTAGAGTAATATTATTCCATTTCCTATTTCGGTAGCCTTATCACGATATGAAAATTAAAATTGATTTTGCAGATATAGGCACCCAGGCGCGTCTCCAAAAATAAAATCGAAGAAGCCTGGAGATGTAATAAAAACGAGTAAAAACAAAAGCAATATAAGCAGAGCAACAGATACACCAGATTTTAATTTTAATTTTGATAGACCTGACGATGATAAGATTGTATATCGAAACATGTCGTCAATTTTAAAATGTAACAATTTTATGTGAAATTTTATATGATTTTAACAATAAGCTTGTGTAAACGACGGAAAATAAAAGTATTGTATTGAAACACAAGCATGATGCAATTAAGATATAAGTTAATAAGTTGTACTCATCACCAAATATAATCAGACTGATCAAGTCAAGGAGGATGAGATGGGCAGGGCATGTGGCACGCATGGGAGAGAAGATGAATGCATACAGGGTTTTGGTGGGAAAACCAGAAGGAGAGAGACCAGTAGGAAGACATAGACATAGGTGTGAGGATAATATTAAAATGGATCTTAGTGAAAGAGAATGGGACAGTCTGGACTGGATTCAACAGGCTCAGGATAGGAAACAGTGGCGGGCTCTTGTGAACATGGCAGTGAACCTTCGGGTTCCATAAAATGCTGGGAATTTTTTATATGGCTGAGTGACTGTTGACTTCTCAGGAAGGGCTCAGCTCCATGGAATAAGTAACAAACTCTGTTCCTTTCTTTATAACTTTTTTGTTTTTATATTTTAACTTCCAAATAACATTATGTTAAATTGTAAAAATATGCCTATATTAATGCACTTAATTCAGTGATAAAAAATATTTTTGGCTGGAAGAAAGTGGCACATGGTAGCAATAAGATTTAGTGCACCGACATCTTGAGTATCTATCATATATATACATACAATGAACCCTGGACCATGCCTATTACCAACCTAGGTGACAGACATCAGTAATTAACTTAAAAACACCAAGTGTTCTGTACAACACCTCCCCATTAGAGATTCAAGGGCACCTTAGTTATTATTTTCCTTCAACTTTTAGTCACATAAGAATTCAGATTAGACATTATTTCATTTTTGCATTTATGTACATAACACCTGGGTACCATGTGATTTACTGCCTCAGTTTTGGCTGGATGGTTGTCACGTACCTCCATTTGAACTGGAATATTAATATGTTTGCCTTCAATAGCTATAACCTCATGTCATTCCTTGATATTTATGTTAATAGTGTTCCTTCTTTGTCTCTATCAAATCAACATAAACCTAAGCACTATCACAGTACAATAGAGTCTCAGCAGATTCTGACTTATCACACTGCATCTTTCTTATCTGTTTTACTCACAATGACTTTGCAGAATGATTTAGTATTCCACATTTGCTACTTTATTTTGCTCTAAATGCTGGGCACTCTCAAGGGCCAAGTTTAGTCTGATAACATCTATACTCAGACTCATTTACTAGATTTGAATCCTCAGACTTACTATACTTGACACCCTTCTTCATGAAGAACATCTTAAATTTCTTTATGAAGTCAAACTCCTTGGCAGTGGTATCCTCTGAGTACCTCCAATGGATCTGTTTGACTTGCTCTCAACTATGCTCATAAGTATGACAGAAAACAGCAACCTTCTACAGGGCGTGATTATCAATCTGCAACAGCACCTCCCAGATATTCTCGTCATGGATCCCTTGCACGATTTAATCCCTCAAGACTTTCCCACCTCTGTCATTGGAACGGTGGCCAAAATTCTCACAGAGTCTGCTCTTATCATGTTATAAAGCAAGGATAGCTTTACTTTGTCACTGGATTCATCATGATCTGTAGATATTAGGTAACTGACTAAGCTTGCCTCCAAAATTTCCATTCCACAGATGCTGTTTTCCTTTGAAGATATAGGTCTACATTGTTGCCTTATACCATGGTGAGTTTGAGGTTATATCTCCATTTGAATCAACACATGTCAGATATAAACCTGTCTGGTACATAATAGAGTAATTTATATGTACTTGAACCCTTTGTTCGTGGACTTGATTAAATTTTTACTCAATACAGTGTAAAAGTTCTATGTTGCCACCATCAAAAATGTGTTTTTCACTTCACAGCTTTACTCATACTTATTTCACACATTATGAAACATGTTCGCAAACCACGACTGCGCCATGTTTAAAAATGTTAGGGAGGTTGAGGACGTAAAGATGAACTTGGATTAACTTTAATATTCACTTAATGCCAACTGTTCTGTATAACAAGTATTACAAATTATTTATCTATTTATAAATTTTAAGTTTTCAAAATTTGTCTTCACTGTTTTCACCTGATGTTAAAAGCTCCCCACATAATTTCTATCTTAACAAAATAGATTTTAAAAATCAGAGGAGAAATTGTGTTATGCAAATAAACAAGATCCTTCTACTTATTTCTTGGGAAACATGTGTACCTATAAGGGCAAAATATGAAATGATTACTTCGGGGTCTCCCTAAAGTATAGCATATGCAGGTCTTTCTTCTTCTTTTTTCTCTCTCTCTTCCCCCCCCTCCTCCCTCCACTCATGGAGAATTCTGGCATTACCCACAAGCTTGATTCTTCACCACTAGTCTTGCATAGACTTTTGGGGATACTGAAACTTACACGGTCCTCATACCTGCCAGGTCTGAGTGCAGGTCCCCACAACTGCGACGCTGGTTGTGGTGCTGATGTAACCGCAATGACTGCAAGGGGCGGCAGTGACCTGGGCTAGCAGAACCAGCACCTGGACTGGGGGAACGAGATGTAGGGGGAAGTCCCAGAAGTGAGTCCAGCACATCTTCAAGAGTTGTGGAACCAGGACTGGGCTTGTTCCTCAGCTCTGCCTGCATCTCGTGGTCATCATCAGGTCCTGCAAGAGAATAGGAATCACATTTGTGGGCATTTCAAAACTACAAAGTAAGAATATCTTACATTGACAAAGACCAATTGCACTAATAGGTGCAAAAAACATAAACCTGAAAGAGAGAAAAGTGGTTCGATACTAACAAGGACACAATCAAGATACCTAGTGAATTTGAATCACATGCTAAGGTGAGAAGAATTTAGCTCATATATTGCAGTGTTGACAAAAATGTAAAGTACCAGAGGACAAAGATCTTTATTGATTTAGTGAACATACTGGATTTTACTGAAACATTGCTCTATGATATGAATTGAATCAAAATGTTAGGGGCATAACTTCAGATCCCAACACATAGCACTACATCTCACCTGTCATACTGTATGAGGTGTAACAATTAAGTTCCCAGAATGCCCCCATAATAGCTGTAATTAATTACTCACTAATTATTTCTGACACCATTGAAGTAGTCTCCCTGTGCACCAATACACTAAGTGGGTCGGTGTTTCCAATGCTTAAAACATTTCTGGAACTTTTCTTCTGAATGCCCTTCAGGATGGTCATCGCATCTCCCTCAGTGTCAGCATTGTCTGAAATCTGTGGCCCTTCGAAGTGGTCTTCTGTACGGTAATGGCCAAAAATCGCACGGGGCCAAATCTGGTGAACATGGTGGATGATCCAGTTTCAATATCGATTATTTGACCAAAAACTCCCGGATAAGCACGTCAAAAGCAGGAGCAATGCCATGATCCAAACGTCCAGCCAATGTTCAGGTCTTCTCCGACGATCAGCCTCATGTAACCTTGTCAATATTTCCAAATAACAATGCCAGTTTACTGTTCAACCATGTACAACAAACTCAAAGTGAACAATTCCCTTGTGATGAGAAAACAAATAAGCATTTTCTTCAAAACTTCCCAACTCTCTTTTATGCCACTCACAGACACTCAACTTTCTGATACCATGAGCACCATAAGGCTCTTGTTAACATCTGCTGAGTTTCACTCACGCTTTTGTCTAACTTTGCACAAAACTTAATGTTAGTGCGTTGCTCCAACAACCTGCAGCTCATTTTTCTGCTGGGTCGAAAACACACGTTTGGGTAGCTGTGCCACCACTTGGCTAATACTGCGTTATTTTCTTCACATACAAGATGCAAGCACAGACATGTCACAACATGTCGCTGCTTAGTTATTGCTCATTTGCTACTGGATGCAACATACATATATGCAGGCAATCAAGGAACTTAATGTCACACCTCATATAACATGTTGAAAACAAGAACAGTATCTTATGGGTCTTCCCTCAGGAAGGTTGTTTAGATCAATTCATTTCGTGTGGAGTTCAGTGTTACCACAGAATACATCTGTTAGAATGTCTCACATATGTGATGGCAGTTCAGTTTATTTTCATTGGAAATTAATGGGTTAGTTGGTCATGTTTACATGTTATACGTCAATCATGCATATGATTGCTATGTCCCCCGAAACAGAAACATAGTGACCAACTTACCCACTCACACACATTCCTCAGTTTGGCTACACTTTTCAGAAGAGGTAAGGATTTGCTGAAAAAATAATAAAAACAGTAAAATTAAAGTTGTAAGTAGTAATTACATTGGAAATAAAATATTTGTACTTCATTATTTCTTAAAATATTAATGAATGAAAGACGAATAACACATTAACTGATTTGTCCTTACAAAATAAATTGCTAGGACTTCACTTTCAGTGACTTTGTCAAATTATTCCTTCATAACTTTTGAAATCTATAATTTTTGTAGTTGCTATACATTTTTGAAATTGTTGATTTAGGTGTATGGTCTGTTTCTGTTAATCATATAATGAATGCTACAAACATAAAAAATGGTTGGTGAGGTTTTAAATATTCCATGATCTTTAATAAAAGCATAATTTTGATTGTGAGGCACAACTTGTCTTTCAGCCTATGTTCTGATCCTGCACCCATGGGACATTAATAGCTGACACAGGACAATCTTTTGAGTTTCATTTTGACATCGAAGTTATTGAAATCTAAGGAGACTAATGTTATCACAACCCAACCTTCCTCTCGGGCAATTCTGAAATGTATGAGCTGAATAATGCAATTTATAGTTCTTACATCTGCTGGCAAAGAAATTTAATTATAAATGTTAATATCATCCTATTTTTAAAATTAGTCAGAGTCTGTTTTGAATTGGAGGACAGTTGAGTAGAAAAAAGGTATCACAAAAGAACTTGGGAAACACAGCTCTACACAATTCACATGGATCCAATTCACTTGGTTTTGCGTGACTCCACTTCTAATGAGTGGACAGTCATAAGAGCAATGCAAACAAAATTCCAGTTCAAGAAAGGAACAATGAAGTCAGCAGAAGCAAACGTGCATCACAAGGTGTATAATGACTGATGTTTTATCTTTTAGCAAATGAGAATCAGATTTGGCATACTGTTTCTGTGAAGATCCAACACTCAGAGTAGTAAAACAACTGGCTTCATCTTTGTACCTTGATCTTGTACAATTCTAAAATTTGTTTACAAATTATAAGAACTGAAGGATGGAAGAGTGGAAGGTTTGGAACAAAAAATAAGTGATCATAAGGTAGAGAAAGGATGCATAAAGTAGAATTGGGTGGTCTGCTGATGGCTTTAGAGTTGTCTGCATTGCACAGATTATTTGCAGTTACAGTAGGTTACATTAAATAAATAAAACCAAAGTTTAAAAGAGAGATTTGAGATCTTCATAGTAGTCAAAATGTGGATTGCAATGATGAAACAATGCAGTTTTAGAGAAAAAGTTAATAACATTTTCGATATTCTTTTTCAAACATAACAATACTTTCATATTAATTCAATTTCTTCAAACTAAGTGGCAGCACCATGCAGACAAATAAAAATGTGTTTTATTAGCTCATTGAATGTAGGCAGATGTCACAATGAAAGGAGATGATGATTTCTTGGCATGGAGAATTTGTTGAATATGCACTCTAGTTCCTTATAAAAATTATCCTTTGTATAATCACATTTGGCCTCAGTTGAATATGCACATTCAGAATATCTTCACACAACAGCCTTCTGACACCCAATCACTAGCAAATTCTGCCTTCTTAAACTGCTGATGTGATTTCCTTATGTATAAAAAAATTGTGTCCTTTAGTGATGATCAGCATTCCCCCTTCCAGAAAGAAAGTATAATCATCTACTGGTCCAGTGCGTTTTGTTCCATTTACAAAATAACTAATATTTCTTTTGTATGTTCATTTTGTCGAGCATTTAAATTGTGAAATTAAATTAGAAACTCTGTATTATGCTGTGCTTTAGAGTGAAATAAGACAGTGCCCTAAAAATTAAGCATGAACTGAAGAAAAGGTAAATAATATTCCTGTGGCTATTGATTAAACTGCTCAAGCATGCACTGGGTTAACCATCACCTGTGCTTCAAAAGGGGAATTATTTCATTTGTAAAAAATTCACATGGCTTATGCAGTTTTACATTAGTATCTGGATGGAAACTTAAAATTTTCTATTTGACTAAATATCAGGATTATTTTTACATAAATTGCTTGGTATTGTCACTTCATGGGAAAACAATTCCACTGAAAGTAAAATCCTACTAATTTAATAACAGTTAAATTCTGTTTCAGACTACTCCTGTGACGTATGTAATACGTTTTACTGTTGGGAGGTTGCCACGCAGTAAACTATTTGGAATATTTTAATAAATACTTTGAATTAATATTTTCTTCTTCTTCTTCTTGAAATTTTGAGCTTGAAATAGAATTAAATTTACGTCACTGAATTAGGTGTCGGTGATCACTATGTATCTTTCCTTTCAGGTTGCCTTGCTATAATACTATCACACAATTCACCGCGTTGTTATGTGTTACTCATTTTGACCCATAACTATTTATTGCAGCACGTGTACAGAGCCGGTTTATTGTAGATTCAGATCTGGGTCTTCATGCTGCGCATTTCTAAGGTACTAATCACTTAGCAGTCAACATTGGATGCGACAGTAAAATGGAATACGTGCAATACGGGAGAAAGAAAATTGCACTCTCCAAACAGTCCTACTTTCCACACCGTATTTAGAAGTCGGTGCTCTTAACCCGTGGACAGTTCGGCGGGAGACTATCAATAAACCAAGTGTCCTACTTTCGCAGAATTATTTCGTATTCTATCACTTAGGGTTACACTGCAGTGTGTTCATATTGACTTCGTTCTCCTAAATCCCTTGTTCAATTTCTCCACAAGGTAGCTTGTACGACAAAGCAGCAGTTCCTCTCAGCCATTGAAATGGCTGTCTTAACTGTAATGGAGGAAGTAAGGTGTAGCCGAATGGAGGAAGAAAACGACATAAATTTGCAAGTGTCATATTTGATCATAATTATACATTTTTATCAATGTTGTAATGAAAGTATATCGATGTAAACTAAAACCCATTTATGTAATTTATTTTTTTACGTTTATCCAAGTAAGTTAAATAAATCATTTTATACAGATTTATCAAAGAGTCACCAATTCCTAACACAATATTCTATTTGTCAAAAATAAATTACACTAAAATTATAAAACAAAAAACTAATGTTTTTAGTGTTGGAAATATTCGCCGTGTTCAGCGATGCATGCATTCACTCTTTTATTCATGTTTGATTAAGCCCGGCTAAGAATTCGTGTCGTCCCGCGCGGTCTGAGGCATCATGCTTCGGACGGAATGCGCGCTGGTTCGAGTCTCGGGGAAGATGAAATTTTCTCATGAGCTTTCGACCGGTGTATGGGACCGGTGCCAACCCAGCATCGTGAGGAAATTGGGGAGCTACAATGGGTAGCGTAATCCGGTCAGGAAAGCTAGCAATGGCTGGGGGTTCGTCGTGTGACCACACGTCACCCTGTATCTGGTTGGATGATCGTTCACCTCTGCTTAGGCATGTGAACGTGAGGCCAGCAGCCAGCTAGTCTCGGCTTTGACTCTCAGAGGGCTGTTACGCCACGGATTATTATTATTATTAA